AATTACATCAAAACTATGAGAGGCAGGAGCCAGCAATTTATGGTGAGTAAAGCTAGAGTATAGACCTGTATTTTGCATGTTTCAATTTAGGTTTAACTTATCTAGTAAAAAAATGGCATCATTTTGAAAAAAAAGTGGTCAAAGTTACCCCATTTTACAGTATCCTGGATACCAGCATCATCATACATAAGAACTTAGTTTAAATCTTGGGTAAATGAGGAAATTAAAAATGAACTAATTCTAAAATATCTCTGGTTTGTCACTATGGTGCGGTGTTTTGTAAGTCACATAAAGCAAACAGAACTTGAGTAACGCATACGGTTATTTTTTATAGTTTTTCATTTCTTGATGCATCCTTAATGTGATGGAATATATAGCGTTTACCCTATTTAATCTTTCAACTGATTCATGCATTGTCTCTGACTTTATGCAATTGTGCAAAATTTCAGATCAATTGGACAGGTCAAATTGTGTTAAACATCGATTATAAGATTTGTAGCAGACAGACAGACAGGCAGACAAACAAACAAGAAGTGAAGTTAAAGAGAAGTGTTGTAAATAAGGCAGAAAACATTTAATTGACATTGTGAATTGAATAAAAATGCCTGTAGGGTAAACGCGGTATATTACGACATCGTAGGTAATTCCGTCACCTCTCCAGCTTTTCCTTTATATTAAGCTTTGTTTTAGTTCCATGCGTTCATTGATGGTTGAAATGGTGACGTCATACATTTGCGTGTCGAAATACTGCAAAAACACTAGGTCTTGGCCATCTAGTGGGAAAATATTGAGATCCAAAGAGAGACAATGCATGCCACGTAGTGAGATCATCGAAAAATGTGTCAAATTTGACAGTTGACATGGCTCTACCAAATAGTGAATAACTGTTTTTATAGGAAGAATATTATGGTTTGAGACTTTTAAATACGTCTGTGAATATATTAGGAATCCTTTAAGTATACTTGTATTTGCTGATTTCAAGTCGTAAATAAATTAATAGATGATTAAGTTGAGATGTTGGATTTAGACACATGAAAACTAATTCCGACACAACTTGAATTGGACACACACAGATCGTTCAAAGCTTTGTACAAAAATTGAAATTTGCTTAATTAAAAGCCTAATAGCTGTTAATTAATACGTAATTAAGTAGTGTTCAATATTCGTTAGTGTTCTAATTCAAAGCCGTGTTGTATCCCAATACAGCTCACACAGCAAACGGAATTCGAACACGTGGATGTCGGCAATACGTATCAGTTAAATTTGAAGCGCTGACGCAATACGACTCACCACGTGTTGAATATCGCCACACAAAGTGACGGAATATAGGGTTTTGGTAGGTTTCCATTCTAAAGGCTTTTTAATAAATATGGCAACATTTTGTGACGTTTCATTGTTGCTGACGCGTAGTGAAGTGTTTTGAGAGTCATGTAAAGGCATTAGAACTTATGTAACGCATACGGTTTTTTTTTATAGTTTTTCATTTCTTGATGCGTCCTTAATGTGTCGGAATATACCGCGTTTACCCTAAATCTGAAAAATTCCACCCCTTTCTTAATTCCTATCAATGCTATTTTCCATTTTATTTAGCTACGTACTACAAAAGAAAAAAAAATATTATTACCTGAACTTCTTTCAGAAACCCCAAAATGGCTAACCAGTGA